GACAAATACCATGCTAGATTGTGCCAGCTGGCAAAGAACTGTGAATTTCACGACAAGGATGCAGAGATAAAATCACAGATTATTCAGCGATGCCAACTTATCAAAGTCAGGAATAAAGGATTGAGCGAACCAACGCTAACTCTGAAAGAGTTACTTACTTTTGGCCGAACACTGGAAGCAACAAATGTGCAAGCCAAAGCAATGTCTGGAGGTGTGGAAGTTGAGAAACCTATACATAGGATTGAGCATAAACCCCAGCAAAAATACCACCAACTACGTAAACCAAAACGTGAAGGCTGTCTCTTATACACATCTATATACAGTAAATAGGTTTTGTGGATGGAGTGAGGAACCAGGGTATGTGTGCTGGCAGAGTAGTGTAGTTAGTATTTAGTTTTACGAGTGAGCAGTAGTATTAATAGTGTATTTTGTATTGGATTCCATATGATTTGTTGCTTGCTGTTTCATTTTGTAGCTGAAAGAACCTGGGTGGAGATTATTATTATTATTGTATAGAGAGCTACATATATATACAGTATGTCCATATATCCAGTTAATGCTTCCCACAGCAGTACTTTCCTGTACTCTCAGGACGACCGAAAATAACCTCTGAGGCGTATTAGGCGACCAATCATTTTTTTTCTCTTATTTTTATTTATTTATTTTTTATCAGGGACAAGAATAAACCACCATACCCACTTCTAAACCGTGCCTGTTATATATTTGGTAGAAAGAGGAGGTGGGGTGAATGTGGGTTGAATAATAATATACTGTATACAACGATATTCCCTGCTGTTGGATCATTATTTTTTCCTTATTTTCAACAGCTTAATTAATGGATATTGACTTACTAAAATGTCAAATAATTATATCTTCCTTGTAAGGTGAAATTAAAAAAAAAGCACAATCTTTCTTTCACTTCTTGTACTCTACTAACCAAACCGAGCCTCTGCTACCAAATGAATTCCTTCTCATACAGCTGCTGTAGCCTTTATATGCGGCGATGTATGCAAAATAGGCTCAAGATTGGACTTCACCCATCACCTTCATTTTCATTGGTCGTTCAATTTCTAATTTCCCACCAAAAGATTTTACCCTCAAAATCTATGCGGACCGATAGGTAAGCACTCATTGTGCTGTAATTGGTTGTGTACGAACTCGTATATGTGTAGGCGGATCGATTTAGGCTAAGCCAAAATTTGTCCAGGCCGGACCAATATTATCCAAGGAGGACTGATTTTGGCCGGCCAAAATCAGTCCCCCGGACAAATTTTAGCGGCTAAAATCGGTACCCCGGACTAATTTTAGCCCGGACCAATTTTGGCGTGACAGTTCCATCATCGCTTCATTCAAACTGGTATTTCTACTAGGCATGCGCACACACTTTTATTAAGTAAAAAGTACCGCAATGGAACATTCATGTCTTAACCGTAGCAACGTATAACGTCTTAACAATAAAGTATAATTAACAGAGGGTCAGAGGGGAATCCAGGGCATAATTATCTGTACAGGTATGTGGCATGTGGGGCCCATGTAGAATGAACATAAGAATGCCCATGCATTTTCCCAGGTATTTTGCACATGGGCCCCATGTGGCGTACATATTCCTACAGCTATCTGCCCAGTTACTTGGCATATGGGGCTATGTAGAGTATACACAGGCACAAATATTACTTCCCATATATTTGACACATTATAGGCCCTAAGGGAATTTGGCATATTGGACCCATGTAGATTGCACATGGGCATGTTTATATGAATTTTCGCAGATATTTGGCATATAGGTCTCATGTATATTATATGTGGGCATGCCCATAAGTATTTTCCTAGATATTTGGCACATGGGCCCAATGCGAAATTAATATGGGCATACCCATGTTCAACTACCCAGGTCTTTAGCATGTGGGCCCCATGTAGATAAATATGGGCATGAAAATATGTATTTTCCCAGATATTTGGCACATGGAACCCATGTGGATTAAATTTAGGCATTCCCATAATTATATGCCCAGTTATTTGGCATATGGATCACATGCAAATTAAATATGGGCATGCCCATATGTAACTGCCCATATATTTGGCATATTGGCTCCATTTGGATTAAATATGGGCTTCCCATATTTACTTGCCCAGGTATTTGGCATATGAGTCCCATGTATATTATAATGCGGGCATGCCCATAAGTATTTTCCCAGATATTTGGCACATGGGCCCAGTGCGAAATTAATATGGGCATACCCATATTCAACTACCCAAGTCTTTGGCATGTGGGCCCCATGTAGATAAATATGGGCTTGCCCATATGTATTTTCCCAGATATATGGCACATGGGCCCAATGCGGATTAAATGTGGGCATTTCCATATTCATCTGCCCATGTATTTACCACATGGGGCCCCATGTACTTTAAATATGGGCATTCCCATAGATATTTGCAAATATATTTGGCATATGGGCTCCATAGAGGTAAGCAATGGGCAAGGCCCATATGTGATTGCCCAGACGGATCCCATAAGGGAAAAATATCGGGTAGCCCATTGTACTGGATCTGTTCTGAACATGCTTTTATCTGATAACTTTGGATGTTGTTGCTATGTGTTCACGATACTAGTTGTTGATTCAATAAAGTACAGTACAACTTTGAATTAGTTTTCGGGTTCTTTATTGGCAATACATCACATAATTGGCGACGAGGATACCAGGATATAACCAGAGAACTAAATGCCAGGCGACTTTAGTCACAACTCCATTTAATCGGGCTACGATTAATGCGGAAACGCGAGTACTGTACGTATCGGGCTAACTCTTTGATCAGCGTAGATCAACCAGTGAACGGCGAGTTACAGACATTGCAGCGTTAGCAACCCCTTAGCAACGAACATTACTCAGCCTAGCTAGCGTAGGCTGGAGACAAGCTTAGCTTACATTACGTGAGTTTTTAGAATTATTTTTGAACCTTATTGAGTTGCATGGAATGATGGAAAAAACACCCATTCCACCTTTCAAAACTGAACCTACAGAAACGGCACCTGGTCGTTGGGAACGCTGGCTAAAGCGTTTTGATAATTTCCTCATCGCTAAGGCAATTACCGACGATGTAAGGAAACGGGCCATGTTGCTTCACTTGGGCGGCGACGATGTTTTTGAAATAAGTGAAAGCCATACTCTAGCAGAAGACACGTATGCACAGACAAAAGAAAAACTGTCAGCTTATTTTGCTCCAAAGAGGAACATTGAATACGAAATATTTATGTTCAGACAAGCAACACAACATCCCACTGAAGTGCTGGACAAATACCATGCTAGATTGTGCCAGCTGGCAAAGAACTGTGAATTTCACGACAAGGATGCAGAGATAAAATCACAGATAATTCAGCGATGCCAACTTATCAAAGTCAGGAATAAAGGATTGAGCGAACCAACGCTAACTCTGAAAGAGTTACTTACTTTTGGCCGAACACTGGAAGCAACAAATGTGCAAGCCAAAGCAATGTCTGGAGGTGTGGAAGCTAATGGATAGATAATGATATGACATGCCTCTATAAATACAGTAATTCTCAGGAACTGGCCACATTGACTTTAAGTCCCCACTGGCAAAGAATGTTATTGTTGTTAAATAAAACCTCCGAGTTAAGATGTTCTAAACTAAAGGTGGAGGAATGTACTGGATCTGTTCTGAACATGCTTTTATCTGATAACTTTGGATGTTGTTGCTATGTGTTCACGATACTAGTTGTTGATTCAATAAAGTACAGTACAACTTTGAATTAGTTTTCGGGTTCTTTATTGGCAATACATCACACCCATAATACTTTTCCCAGATATTTTGCATATGGGCCCCATGTGGGATTGTTACCTGGGGGACAAGGAAGGAATAGCAATTGTGACACCGACCAGGAGGTAGGCCTACTCGAGGCGCTATTATCAGCAGCGAACTGGCAAATGTGTAACTCAGGTTGAACAGGTGCGATAGTGACATCATAATATAGTTTGAGCCCGTATTCATTCTCAGAGGTGCATTTAGTTCGAAGCCGGCTCACATTTCCCCTTCCCCCTCCCACACTCCAACATTTATTTATTTTTTTAATTTAAGAAAAAATAAAACACTGATCAAATTATTTTCGGTGCGGTTGGGTACCGAGTATTATGAAGTGCTATTGTATATGGTATATTGTATGTGGTATTGAATGTATAATGCGGTATTGAGTGTATTAGTAACAAGCACGACTAGGAATACTCTCCGTGGAGTGGAGGAGGTTGCACTTTGTTTCGGGATTGATTATGAACCCAATATGACCAGGAGAAATAATAAAAGCATCACCATCACCTTGGCAAAAGGCGTAGGATAAATCCCTTACAGATCCCTGTTTATTATAAAGTATCCACATGGGATTCGGTTATCAGGAAATGTGTGGTGTTGTATTTTTTAATGACTTTTGTAGAGTACTAAGGTACTGCGAAGGTCAGTGGCGTAGAAAAATATTTTTCATTAGGGGCGGGGGATGATTGGCGTGTTAGCCAGTGTCGTAAACAGGCGCGGGGTGGGCAGGGGGAAAACTGCCCCTCCCCTGACGGTTTTTACCGGGCTGACCAAGCCGTCGTACCGGGCTGGGTAATAAGAGAGAAGAAAGAGGGGAGAGGGAGGGAAAGAGAAAGAAGAGGAAAAGAAAAGGAAAGAAAAAGAGAAGAGAAAAATAAAGACAAGAATAAAAAGGAAGATATCATAATGACCAGACTCACAACACCCTGCAACCACTTCTCCACTTCAAAAACTGTCATAACTCCTTTCATCTATGCTGCCCGATGGCGAAACCACTGGGGGACAAGGGGAAAATATCTTAATCTTTGAAAAATCTTCCCCACACCTTTATAAATGCCCTTTTCATCCCTTGAAAGTGCCTAAAAACCCCAAATTTCGGTATTACGTTTAGCCAATTTCCTCTATAAATTGCACATTTTAGGGAGTTTTCATCAATTCCGACGAAATTAGAATTAAAAACACAAAAATATTTAGCGTTTTTAGGGCTTTTGTAGGTTTATTCTTTTAAGTTAAACACATAATAGTCCCAAACTCAAGAAAGACAAATTTAAGATAGATTGTTTTAACCTAAAAGAAGGCCTCGTGTATTGATGGTGAAGAATATGTATGTAATAAATAAAACCATGATGAAAATGCTTATATTTAGTTTCAAACACTCGTGTGTGGCCTATATTATAAATAAGATAAGCCCTATGTCGTATTGTTTTCTATATGGGGAGTGGCGGGGGTGGGTATGGTAAATTACTAACCGGGAAAATAAATACCCACTCTGACCCAAGACGCCTGTTACGCGCCTGGTGTTAGCGCCAATGTGTGCCCTTGTGCGGACAGGGGATGTGCCCCACTCTGAAGCTGGAAACCTTGATTTTGCAAAATAAATTGATGCAATTTGCTATTGGCCTAATCAATAAATTCCTCATCAACATTACTGATGTCGTACACACCCTTCAGTGTGAAATGTGGCTCTCTTTGCAAGCACATCTAACATCTAAGGAAAGAAGAGCTTAGATTGGTACCAAATAACATTCATACATTATGCTAATTTTCATCTTTGTAAGCGCATAAGACAGTGCAAATTATTTCTGTGACAGTCTTTTGAAGTTTGTAAAGCTCCATTTTAACCCATACATAATCAAAATATTGGGGGGATGATACAATGGACCATCCCCCCCTTGTCAAATATTGGGGGATATATCCCCCATCCCCCGGGATCTACGCCTATGCTGAAGATGACACATATGACCCATCATGCACCTCCACCGGATTTACCCTTTCGGCAATTTAACTGCCAGACAACAATATGGTTTTTGCCCCGAGAGAGTACAAAGACAAAAAGTATATAATTACCCATAATAGGACTATACAAAAACAAAAATGAAGAGTAATTGACAATGGACAGAGCTACATACGAAATCAAAACCCCACTGATCACAAGAACACTGTTGCCAAAACCAGTATCAAATCATATCATTTCATATTATCATTTTCATAGGCATATAATTTATTCATTCATCAAATATAACCGTACAAAGAATCAAAATAAATACATCAATAAAAAATACACATTATTCAAAAGAATAGTGCACGCGGCATGATTGCCCAATGTGAAAAAGTTTTACTGCTCTTCGTAAAGTATAGGATACAGATATCGTATATTATTCTTAATCGTTAAATACTTAATCCATTACACAGTCTAGTCTTGCATTCAGTCTAAAGAGGGAGATTCTACATTTCCAATTTATTTTCCAAATAAATATTATTATTACCGTATTATCTACTGTAAAATGTCTCTATTACCTTTTCCCATCCCTTAGTTTTGTAGTGACTACTACACCCGTGATCTGTAATTTGTGTTTGTTGCCCTCTATAGTTTGCAAAGGCGTACGGCGCCCGTCAAGTGAATGGCTCGCAGAGGCTAGGCGTAAACACGCATGGTTTCCTCATGGAGAGAGCGCAATGAAAGGAATAAAAAGAAGAGTTGGTGAGAGAGAAATGGAGCTCGAATCAGAAGTAACAGAAGATTTGTTATCTATTTCAATCATATTTATTAATTCTTGGTTGATGATATTAGGGATATAATCCATGGATTATTGTCATATGCCTATTTGGTTAGATAGGCCTGCTATGCTAAGCCTCCATTCACCATCTCACGGTTTGTTTAGATTTGGTAGTCAGTCAGACCCATCCATGCCATGCCACACATTGGACTGTGTCATGGATGTGGAAATCCAAACTAGGCTAGTAGGCTTGTAGGCCTAAGAAGTGAAACCTAGTGAAGTGAAACCAAAAAATCTGTGCAGAAATCGGATCTTATTTTCCGAAAAGTGCAAACAGATTTCTATGCCTACAGTAATTTTTGCTCTGAGGATATATCACTAATAATAATATGAATTTAAAAAATCGAGAATTTTGTATTATTTATATGGTAACAATAATAATATCAGCAAAAAATTAAACAATACATAATGTTAATGCTAAGACTAATAATTAATATTAAAACTAACAGTAATAAAAACAACAATTATAATAACAATGACACCAATAATAACAGCAATATTATTGTGGCCGAGTTGACTTGTGGCCGTGTTAACTTGTGGCCGAGTTGACTTGTGGCCGAGTTGACTGCAGCTGAACTTTTTGTGGCCGAGTTGATTTGTGGCCGAGTTGACTTGTGGCCGAGTTGACTGTGGCCGAGTTGACTTGTGGCCGAGTTGGATCGAATTCGAGCCGCCGACAAGTTGAGCCGCCGGTCATTTCTATGGAACGCCAAGCGCGTCTCTCAGTGAATGTAGTGCATTAATTGCGGCGTATTTCAATTAACTTTCGTTCTTAGTACTGTTGTTTGGGATGTATTTAAGTTTATTTACTCAATTATTTCAATTTATTTAATACTCGGTTTTTGCACTGATTTATTAAATATTTTTGGGACGTATTTCAATTTATTTACTTGTTCTTTCTATCGTTTAAGTTAATTTAAATTTTGTGAGTATTTGCTCAGTCAGCTTGCCAGATAGTAACAAAAAACTCCATACATTCTTATCATTTATTATACATAAGTATAACAAATAGTACAAAAATAAAAATATGTAAATTACAAAACCATAAACCGAAAGGTCCACTGATTAATCTCAGATAAGAAAGTATAATACATACTCCAAGTATTGAAATACACGCCATCGTGTTGGGATTCAATATTTCGACATTAATTATGTCATCATCAGGAATACAAAACCATAGTAAATACTGTATAATAACATAGACCTAACACATTTAAATTTATTGTTATAGTCATCTGTCTAATTCAGTCGGCTTGCCAGATAGTAAAAAAAAAACTCCATACATTTTTATCATTTATTATATATAATGATATATAATAAATATAATTTAATTAAATAATTTAACAAAATAGTACAAATAACGAATAAGTTAATTGAAATACGCCGCAATTAACGCACTACA